TCGCTTCTGATAGTGAGACGAGAAATTGTGGTTGGTAACTTCTTCGGTTTTCCTGTTTCAAGTGCGCCAAACTTTCGCACCCTCATCCGACAGAAGCTGGAAGAAAAGTTGGGAAGAGTGGAAGCAAGTCGGGGAAATTCGGAAACATGGTAAGTAGCATGTGGGAGATGGGGAAGGGAAGAGGACACTATAGAGGAGCTTTTGAAAAAGGTCGTCCTCTGCGAGAATTCTCCCCAACGGTATTCTCATAGCAGTGCCACTCATCACTGTGTCCTTACCGAACGCAGTTAAGATTCTATCAAAAACTCACTCAAAGTTACGAAATATTGTCGATCGTTCCATGATCCTCCGGGAGGTAAGAACTTCTTGCCATCGAATTTCACCGTACTTCGACAATCAGCATCGCGGTCGCGATAGTACATACCCGAGCATCCTAAGAAACAGGATTAATAGAAGAAAAATGTGGTTCGTGAATGCCCTCCAAAACTGAAACCTTATCCTTTTACCTGGAAAAGCGGTCTGTAACGAAGTCCAGAGTAACCCGTCGTCGTCATCTAATTCAACATCAGCAGGCTCGACAAACACACGCAGCGATCGCACTGCAAAAGTTTTCAAAGTTAGATGTTGAAAAACATCAAGCCGAATGACTTTGTGCCTGATCAGGGCAGTTAGAACATCTTGCATAAGATATTGAACGAGTACGCTTCCTCCGAACTCAAAGTGAAAAGGCTATTGTTAGGTATCTCTGCTTAAAAATTATTCTATAATAAAGGGCAAAAAGGGTGTCCGAAAGTCCCTGGCGTTAATCAATCCCATACTTGGCTCCTTCGATTCAGAATCGTAGTGGCTGACTGACTGCGATGTGACCTGTACAAAGACTTGCGGGCCAGCCGACGTAGGAATCACTGCTCTTGACCTTTCAGACAAATCTGGTACGAATTTATCGTCCCGAGGGTAGAAGGCCTGATTGGCGTGGGCGGAAGGCATGGATTCGGGATAACTCCGCATGGTAAGCGTGCCACTTGCCATTAAACCACCTCCGCCTCGTTTCCTGATTTTTTAATAGTTCGTTTGATCAACAGATGCTCATTATCGCTTCAAAAAATAATTATGACAATGAAAACGGGACATTCCTGAATTCAGTAGCACTTTGAGACTAAGCCAAATTTCACAGTTCCTATCGTACACTGGAGTCACGGACGATGGATTGGCGTGGACTGCGTATCAGCCAAACGTGGGCGGTGGCTGGCGTCTTGTGGATGCGATAGAGTCGATTTTCGACACAACTTGCGGTCGGTGTCTCGTTCCAACACAGAGGAAAGCTGGTCAGTTGTCTCAAATGAAAGGTCCGATGAGTCATTCTGTGGAATGTCCAAATGCCACGCCTATCCCGTCTGAGGGGTGAGGAGTGTATTTAGCTTGCGCTAAGGCACATGAGATGCACATATGCACCTAAGTGAGTTGAGTAAGAGCAGGAGCATATCCTAGTCCCAGCATCAGGCGCTCAGCGATCCCGTCGGCTTAGTTGACCTGGATCAAATGAGGTTTAGAGTAGGATGGTAAACTAGAGCAAACTCAAAAACTTAATGATACACAAGAAAAACTCGTTCGGCAAGATCTGAGATCAACTACATATAGTTGCCGCTAGAAAAACTATGAACGAATTAGCTTTGTGCTTGATTGATCTTTCTATGGGACGAGTACCACTTCGGCCACTCACTGCCGCATACACCTTCGTCGCTCATCACCTTCAATTGCAGTACAAACACAGAACGCTAGTTGAGCTGGGAGACTTTAGATTTTTAGAACAGTTACGTTCCTGTCCGAACGTGGTAAATAGGGGAAGGGTTCGAAGTGAACCTGGAGGTGGCCAGTGATGAATTTGGATGAGCCCGTTCAGATTGTTGCTGTACTTTTTCTGAACGGCGCTCGCGTGCACTTGAGCTCTTTGAAGGATGGAAACCTTGCTTTCGAAGTGAAAATCGCGGCAAGGCCTCAGATATCGTACAAAGGTCCGCCAGTCACTGAGGACCATTGTTCTCAATGAATACCAAAGAGATAATCAAGAGCCTCTGATGTAGAGCCTTATATTTCACAAATAGTCTCTGAAAATGCATGAAACTGTTGTCGATGCCATATTACTTTTCCCCTGATGTTTCCTCTGATCACAAGATCCCTACGATTGCTGCTACCACTTCTAAGGGTCTCCTATCTTATCTTTGTTTACCGCAAAGTCCTCTCACTACTTACTGGCTACTGATGGAGTCGTTTGTTTTCAGTGTACGTGTGAGTCATGAGTCACAAGCCGTCGGTGTCTTCTTGGTATGGACCACGGAAAGGCATGAACCTCTTTCTTCAGTGCAAACTATGCCTTGAAGCCTGAGGAGCATTTGGATGGACCTTCAACTTACGCACAAAATGCTCTTCACTTTCACTTTCAAGCCACGACATCGGCCCGGTCTCTGCGGCCAGGGGCCAGCCGGTGTACCTTATCAGAGAAAGAGGATTGTTACACTAACCTGATAGCCTAATGTGCTCCCAGAAGAAGCACCTATCTAATTTGAAAGTTAGAGAAGGTGAATAGGCAAAAGGGATGAGGGCTCCGAAAAACTAGCGTACTTAATATTCAAAATACAAGTAAACAAACGTATCAGTCATCTTTTCCGTAACATCAAGGAGAAAGATTTCAAAAATTTTGTAATCGTGGAATAAGTCGCAATGATAAAGAGGCTCAAATGTAAACTGAGAGAAGCTTACATGGGGCAGTCTATGCTAAAGTTAAGCGCGTGTCGCGGAGTTCTACGATGTTAGGGTCGTGTATGACATGTCGGCAAGGAGTAAGAGGGCATATAAGCAGGCATCAGTAATGAAGAGCAGTGACAACATTAAAGGAATAATCTGGCCGCGGTGGAGCACGAAGTTGGAGAATCATGGCAAATCAATCCAGAAAAATGAAAGCACTACATAGCTACGACTTGACATTTGTCAAGGTGCCCCACAGCTGGCCCTGAGAGAAGTCACAAAAGTGTTTCCGTGCTATGAGAAAACTTTTTGTTTCCCTCCATTTTGTAGCGGCGTGAAGTTACTGCATAATCGCTATTTCACATAGTGTGTGGAGAGAACCCAAGTTTGACGTCAAAATCTTGGGGCAATAGTTTGGAAAGAGAGTCTTTCCGGGACAAGGAAATTCAAGGATGGGGGGGGGGGGAACAATACGAGGGAATTCCGGATCAATACAAAGCTCGAGATCGAAATTCGAATGCGTGCTAATCCAGAATTTTACACCACTGGAAGATGTGCGCTGTATAGGAATCGTGGATGCTCACGCATACTAACGGTTTCAATCGCTAATCGAACTCAGCTGAAAAAATGGCACCTGCCCATGAGCTGCACCAAAAAAATAGATATGTATTTCTCCCAGCAATATTGCTAGATATTGCTAGATAAATGAAGCTTTTTGGATGGCACGCTACGAAAGCCTATCAAAAGTTATGTATGGCTAGCAACTAAACACCTGGTCACATCTCCTAGTTGTGCATGAAGCCCGAAAAAACGTTCAAAAACAGCGGAAAGAAGGTTCATGAACAAAAGCAAGAATAAACGCAAGAAAAGTGACACGGAGTAGCACGTTGCATCACGCGCAGGAACTGGTAGAGTAATTCCTTCTTCAGATGACTCGACATTCTACATCACTTCCACTTTAGTTTATTCACCCCATCAACGTCCCTCATCATCGGTTTTCCTCTGCCTGCGCGACGTGGCGATCGCCGCGAGCGCGAACAGTGAGAGGTACTCTTCAAGTTGCAACTAATTGTTATTCTTCAAAAACTAGATTCTAAGACAGTATCTAAGGCAGATATGATCGTGAAGACAAAAGTATAGGTTAGATGATCGAACATCTGATGAGGGAGTGGATAATGAATGTTTAGACCAAACAACGAAAAGAGAACGGTATCTGTGGAGGAAATTCAACAAGCGACTCTAGAAACAATTTCATAGAATTCTGTGTAAAATGGCTTGCCTAAAATAAACCTGAATAGTTTGAAATAATTCCGAAATAACTGATTTTGGAGAAACTGATAGGACTGAAATTGATTCAGACTGATACTAGTAAAAAAACCGCCTTTTAGTGATGGGAAAAAGCAAAGCACAACCAAGAAGAGTGGAATTAGCCATGAGATTTACATTTAGCGCATTTCGAACAAGGAGACAGGGACAATGGAAGTTCTCTACCGACCTTTTCATTCGTCGGTCGAACTTTACCGGCATTCTCCTTTTTCCAACTTGCGCTGAAATCCCCCTATTCATTTTCTACCCAGAAAGATTTCTTTTCTCTTTTTACAGGTCCAAAGCATGTTATTCAATCTTTCGTCATTTTTGATCATTCAATCTTTACCGATTACTTTTCATGTCTGCCTGCTGATGAGAAATGTGCTTTCCAGACCAACTTTTTTGACTATAACAACTGGTTGCTTACAGCATCTCATTTACTGTTCACGACCGCGGCGACTGGAACGTCGCGCAGACTTAGGTACGGGACGTTAGAGTGGATCGTGATGGCAAAGTAATCGGGCTACGGAGTGGAGAGCATTCCTCTATCCCGGTCAACATGCCTAGCATTTTGTGGAAACCTGTGAGTTTTCGTGAAGCTTTGAAATGAGTCGGTTTTCTTGTCGCACCAATTCTTTTTTTATACTAGATGCATGTTATGAGAAAATAGTTACAGGGAAACGATTGTGCATCAGGGGAATGCGTAGGGAAGAGGTGGGGGAGAGGATAAAGAGTGTGTGCTACGCGTTCCACTCGCGTTTAGAAATCATTGAATGTTTTGTGGCCTATATAATGAATTTCCTAGACCAACCGATTGCAAGTCAGTGTATACTCCCAAACAAACTTGGTATCATTTCCACAACACGGTCTAAATTGGCCTGGGCAGGAATCGATAAGTAATTTGAAGCCTGGACCGCGCGTGTGCTAAGCGTGTCACTGCGCACTACACTGCACCACCTCAAAGATAGGGTGAAACGATCCACGCATAAACTGAGTCAAAAAAATACATGGCATTCCATCGATTTACAGGAGTTCAGAGGAGTTTCCAAATGCTGGCCCACTGTTTCGCAGTCTAACAGTGTTTCTATAATACTTGTTCGTTTCTTACTCAGATGAAACGAGTTTTGCTTCCACTGTAAATACTCATACCACTCAAATCTCCTCAACCAATTAAATGAAATGAAAGGCGTCAGATTATATTATTCCTCGAAGGTCTTTTTCTCCTGGAGGCATTGAACCGAAGAGGAGAAAATCTGTGTGTGAAGAGGGGCACTAATCGTCAATTCATCAGAAATATCAAATCAGTTACCGTAAGAATTATGTGCATTAGCCTGAACTTTTGCTCTCTCAGTGTCTCTTCATATTTGAAAAGAACTTGTTATAACTTCCACCTTAGTACCGCAGTCGTTCAATCATTTTTCTTATCTGTCCAAACGAATTAGTAGCTCGTATATCAGTATGATAGTCAAAACGCATCTCAAAAACGATGTGAAAACCTCTTAACTTGTGTGCCCATGAATATAAACAAATGCAGTGTAGGCAGTCCCACAGTTCTTCTATCAGTGGAATTGACCTTCATCAGTGAACTTTGAAGCGTGATCCCCTCAAACAGTGAAACACCACAACTGTAGGCGGATTAGGAAAAAATTAAAAAGTGAACCTTAAAGTGACGCTCTTCTGCGTTACATGATGAGGGGGTTCTCTCTCATGCTATTGAAAGAATCAATAAGAATTTGCAAAAGTATCTTTCACTTTATCTCAAAAAGCATTTTGTTACGGCCACGAAAAAATGTGGGCCCTTCGATTCAAGTGAGAAACGAGCAGCAAATGACGGCCGCTTGTTTTTATGGTCTCCACTTTCGAGGAGATATTTTCGAACGAAAGGATTGTCCTAATAAGGAGTTCCTGCGAAATCAACCTATTCGATTCGAGGCTAAAATGCTAAGAAACGAGACCGCTTTACAGTAAGTTACCCCTTGAAGGCACGTATTCGTAATGGTAAGGTTACTAGAGCCACTGGTCTCTCTCACTGGTGTGCTCCTTCTCTTTATTATCCTAAGAGGAGTTACCATTAATGAGAAGGTCAAGTCAAGCTGCCTGAACAATAAGCGCAAAACATTTCTTTGGATATGTGTACTACTCAGCGAGGGCTATGCGACGGTAGGACTCCACGTTGTCAATAACAATTACCGTAGGGTAACGATCGTGCTTCTTTTCTTACAAGACATTGTTACGACACGCTATCAAACAATGGTCTTGTTGGTTGGATGTGGAACAATGGAGCACCTCCTCGTTTCTTCCTTGTTTTCTTGGTTCCTTAACATAGGTAACTCTCATCGCATCCGCGGAGGCAGTTGATTAGGGCGGTCGTCAACGGGCCGCAGCGCGTGCCAGGAACTATTTGCTTTTCCAGGCTAATTTAGTCATTTTT